GGTTGCTCAAAGCCTCATCCGGCCTGGCCTTGAACACTTCCAGGGACAGGGCATCCACAGCTTCTCTGGGCAACCTGTTCCAGTGCCTCACCACCCTCTCTGTGAAGAACTTCTTCCTGATATCTAATCTAACCCTCCCCACTTTCAATTTGTACCCATTACCCCTTGTCCTGTCTCTACAGGCCCTTGTAAAACGATCTCCCTCCTCCCTCCACGGATCTCTCGGTACACTGCTGCCTGCTGTACTACAGCTTGGGATCCTCTGAATTAGGTGACAGAAATGCAGTGGGTGTACTTGATAAAATACTTGGTACACTGGAAATGAGTTGGTTACCTAGAAAAGGTGGGGGTTAGTCAGGAAATTGCAAAGAAACTGAGTCTGTGGTGGAGAGAAATTGCAGTAGTGGAGTTTTGTGAGGTTTGCTCTTTAAGCTGATCTTATTTTACGAATTCAGTGATGACCTTGATACAAACAGAACTGTGTGAAGGAGGTTGTTGATGACACCAAGTTGGGAGGTTCTGTCATTGTAGAGGAGGACCAGAGTGGCAATAGCACTTGGTGGCCTTGAGGACTGAAGTGATAGAAAGGGAAATGAGCAATACCAAGTGAAAAGCCATATGCTTAAAAACTAATAAGAATAGTTTCTTAAATATGCTGGGAGTTTATCAGAGGGAAGTGACATATTGGAATTAACTTTGGGATATTAGTCAACCACAGGGAGTGTGTTTCCAGTGCAGTGCGACGGTGTAAAAGGCAGGCTGACGTCTGGGACAGAGCAGATAAAGGAGTATCCTATAGAAATGGGATGGTATTTATGCTGATAATTGTCTTACTACTACTTTGGAGTAGTAAATACTGTAGGGGGAAGGAACTAGTTAAACTCTAGGGCTATGTTAGCTAAGGAAATGGTTTAAATTATACCTCATTAAAATTAGGCTGGGATTTAGGGGAAAGGTTCTGACCATCTAAAGAGTGATTTTTTGGAACAGCTTCCATAGTCATGCTTTCTGTCTTACTTATATCCAGCAAACCTGACCAGTTTATAGAGACACTATGTGACACTGTACAATAACAATGCTTAATGTCTGCGCTGCATCCTTATTTTCTTCTGTATTGGCTTGTAACTCACGTAGGATAGTTTGTGACATGTAGCATCCTTGCCATATTGAGTACATAAAATGAACTTTTGCGCTTAGTTTGGTGAAGAGTTACTCCAAGACTGGCTGTTATGCATGTATCTGTCACTCCACTGCTTTTCCCAGGCTGCTGACTCTCCATTTCGTTGTCTGCAATCTGCTTATTCCTCAGCTACATTTTTTTCAAAATGAAAACGTTGGGCTGGAAATGCGCGGTTTGCCTGACACAGTGTCACGGCCATGTCACGTAATGTGGCAGTGGCAGGTTGCTATTTGCATTGACTGGTGAGGCCACAGGCTCACTGGGTGACTGTAGTCATCATGTTCTGCTGCAGCAGACAGTCTAATTTGACTTCTTTTAGGCAATAACACACCTTCTGGCAGTAGGCAAGGACATGCCTCTGGCCAGAGCCAGAGTCTGGGGTCACCCTGACATATCAAGCTCAGCTCTGCTTGCTGACTAGCATAGGATTTTTTCTTATGTGTTATGCTTAAATGGTGCCATTGTTGATTACACCCCTTTCTGCCTAGCTGTATGTCTTGTAGGTGCTACAAGTGCTTCTGCTTCCTTGCCAATCAAACCTGCAAACATCGGTAGCCTGCTCCTCCTCTGCCATTCCTTAGCCAAGTTCAGAATCTTCAGCTCTTTGAATCTTTTCCCTTGGTAAATTCCTCCTGCATCCTGCTCATTTATTTGCTTTCCCTGAACTCACTCTGTGTAATCTGCATCTCTCTGTTAATGAGGTGTCTGGAAGTGAATGCAGGGTTCCAAGGGTGATGATTATTTTTTTACGATGTGCGGCAGAACAGTGCTGAGGGACCCTGGTCATGATAAGGACCTCATTGTGTTGGATGATAAACAGGGAAAGGAATGATGACCTCTCCGTGTCAAAACAAAATGTCTGTGTGTTTACTTTGGTCTTTGCTTCTGTAAATCATTGCAACCTTTTGTCTGATGTGTGATGCACCTTCACCCTGAGGTCTTACACAGTCTAAATGCATGTGGAATTCCTCCCTTCTCCTCAGCAGAGCTTTTCACACGTTTGTTTTCTCATTTCACCTAACTGCATTCTTCCAAAGTGAATTCTGTATATGTTACTTACCCAGTGGCCTTCTCAAGAAGTGTGGAATAAAGGCCCATAGTGATGGGGCACAGTGCTGGAGAATTAATGTTTATAAAGGTTTGTGGTTTTTTCTCTAAACTTTTTCTCCAGAAACACAAACTCCCTTTGTCTGAATTGTAATGATAAGTTGCAATTCATGTATTACACTCTAAGCCCTAGAAATATAACCTTCCTTTCTTGTTTTGAATTCTGTCTTAATTTCATTTTTATCCTATTTTAGAAGTGTGTCAACAGACAAAAATGTGCAAAAATACTTTAGTGGGCAGCACAGCTCCATCTCTTACACTGGGTAGTTTTTTTTCCCAGAAGTGAAGACTGTTTTGTGCTTACATCATAAATCCCTGTAACATACCTTCTGTATGCTAACTAAATTATACAGAATGTGTTCCTCTCTCTTAAAGAAGCCATAAAGTCTATTTTCAATGAATGAACTACTGCAGATACTCAAGGTTGTATGCTGGGGAAGAGGTAAATGCAAGTACAGCAGGGAGAGAGAGAGGATGGGGATCTTGTACCCATGACCCAGCCTGTGGGTTTGAACAGGGCTGTGACCCATGTGTTTTCATGGGAAGATGAATCCCAAAGCTTCTTTTGTGCTGGGTCATGGGCTGCAAAAGGCTGTGACCACAGATCTGTTTGGTAACCTGTCTGCTGATGGTGACTCAGGAGGGGAGACCTTCCCTGCACCCGCAGCCTGCAGCCATACCATACCATAAGATGCTGTTAGGAGGCTGGTATGGATAATTTGATGAGAGGTGTTTATGTAGGATCCTAGGATATTTGGGATTGGAAGGAAGCTTGGGAGGTCTCCTGTTAAACCTCCTGCTACAACAGGGACAGCTATGAGGTCAGACCAGCTTACTCAGAGTGTTACCCAGTTCAGTCTTTAAAACCTCCAAGGGTGGAGATTGCACAGCCTCTCTGAGCAACTTGTTCCACTGCTTGACTTGCCCAAGCTGTGCCATTACTGCAGCACAGAAGGAGAGTCTGCTGTCTCTGAAGCAGCCCATACTCCAGTGCCCCAAATTAATAGCTTTAGCCATGACCAAGCAGCAGGTTTGCAGAACTGATAGCCCCTCTTCAGACTTGTGTTTAATGGGTATGAGGCATCACGTCGTGCCCCAGACTGTCCCCAAGGGCTCATCTTCAATAATCCTGTGCTCTTCCAGGTCCCTGGAGGGTGAACAGCTGAGGCAGAGAGGGCAACATGTCCTCAGTGTGTGTGCTGGTGTCGTGATTGGTGCTATGATCAGTCGTGATATCCAGGTCCATTCCTCCTGGTGTGCAAGTCCCTGGGAGGCTGTGTGAATGTGGGACTGGCTTAGAGCAGATTACCTGGCACTTCCGTGGGCTGTCAGCAGGTGCTGTCAGCTCTTCTAGGAGGTCACAGCTTCTGGTATTTTGGTCCTATGCAATTTTGCAGCCTGTTGGTCTCAGAGACCTGCAAGGGTCACTTCATTGCTCTAGTGGCGTCAGGGGAGCTGCACTACAGGAGACCGCAAGGCTGGGCTACCCCATCTCTGTGTGGGATTTGGCATGAGGGCAGCGTTCTCCGTGATTCAGCAATGGCTCCAGGTTCCACTTGAGGGATGGAGGATTGTCCCACTTGGCACTACAGCTGTCCCTGTTGGTGTGCTGCAGGAAGGGTTCCTGTTCTTCCTCCTCATTTGTAGCTACTTGGGCACTGTTCATAATGAATGCTCTTCACAGAGGTGGGCAGAGCAAGCCCTTCCCTGGCTGGCTGGCTTTCTGCAGGATGAACTGTTGTTAGTATCCCCGTCACCTTTACTACCACCCCTGCTTATGGGGACAGCTGCCTGTTCCCTGCTTACACTGTGTGTCTGGGTAATGCTTGGAATCATTTATAACAATTGTCTTTTAATTGCTTGTTCAGCACTCTGCTGTGGAGCACCGCACCGCTCTCTGATGGCAGGGAGGGCTGGCGGTGGGATGTCAGGGCAAGGCTGCTGTGTTAGTGCATGTGGGGGATTGATCCTGGGCCCTGGGGATGTTTGCTTGCTCCTAGGAGGTTTTTAACTTTAATAACATCTCTTGGTGATAAGAAGCAGTGGCATGGAGGGACACAGCAGTGACAAGATGATTTGCACAGCCTTTCTGTGCTGCTTCATCTTCACAGACATCGCAAATTGGATTAGCATGGGGATGAGGAAAGCAAGGGGGAAAGTGGGGGACAGTGGGATGGAGGGAGGGGAGAGGGAACCCATGTTCATTCTAGCAAGCAGATGGACAGGCTGAGTCTCCTCCCACCCCTTCTTCGCTGGGTCCTGCTGCTATCCATGGATGGAAACATCTGAGTCTTCCTCCTGGCCGTCTCTCACCCGCCCCAGCAGCTCTTCCCATTCCTTCCTTGTGAATGCCTGCCCACCCCATCTGCTCTCCCACTTTCCTCCTCAGCCCCAGAAACCCCTTTCCTACTCACAGCTATTTTCTCTTTTTATATGCCAGGCAAGTGTCCTTAAATAACCCCTGACCCCACAAACACCCTCCTGGTGCCCCCTGCGTGTATCCTTCCCTGAATGCCTGGAGTCACCCCTCGGTAGATGCCAGCAGCCACCCGGTGCGTTTGTCAACGTGAGGAGCTGCCAGAGCTCTGCATGGGGACATCAGCATGTGCCAGACGCTCGCTCCCCGCGGTGTTGGCACGCGGGGCTGTCTCCCCTCGCCGGCAAGCACGCTGCTCTGGGTGGCAGTCTGTGACCATCTCCCGTCTCCTCACAGATCTCTCGTAACCTGGGGAAGCTCTACAGCGAAATGATCTTTGTGAACGGCTTTGTGCACTGTGACCCGCACCCAGGCAATGTGCTGGTGAAGAAGTGCCCAGCCTCCGGCAAGGCCCACATTATTCTCCTGGACCATGGACTTTACCAGGTACGTAGCTGTGGGGGCTTCCAGGGCCTTGTGATGCTGCCTGTAGGATTCAGGTCCGAACGAGTACATTTTGCTTATTACTCCCATTACCCTGCAAGGATATTCCCTGACTCTGGAATGGGGGACGGGGCACAGCTAGAGGGCACAAGGCTGTCACCCCCAGTTCCCCGTCCTCTATGGACTCCTGGAGGGCATGTCTCCCTCCCCAGGTGCTGAGCGACTCATTCCGCATGGACTACTGCCGCCTTTGGCAGGCCCTCATCAAGGCTGATATGAAGAGGGTGCAGAAGTACAGCCGGCGGCTCGGGGCGGGGGATTTGTACCCTCTCTTTGCCTGCATGCTGACCGCCAGGTCCTGGGAGTCTGTCAACAAGGGCATTGACCGGTTGCCTGTCTCAGCCAGCGAGGTAGGTTCTGTGTTCCTTTCCCTGTCCTGTGTCCCTCCTTGTCCTCGGGTACCTCTCTTTGCTGTAACCATTCCACCACAGATATCACAGCCGTGCTGGGCATCCGCTGGCAGCAAATTCTGCATTGATAGCTGACCTAGGAAAAGCCAGGACTCCTTCTGCAATGTGTTTTATAGTGGCTGAACTTAATTTCCCAGTTTCAGTTGGCTTGGGCTGCTTAAATTTTGTATAATATTTTAATGGCTAATTGTTCACCTGTTCTGGCAGGGGAAACATTTGGAGATCAGCCTTTTCTTAAAAAAGTGTGGAATGCAGCTGTGAAGGGAACCGTCAAGGAGGATAGGTTAAGGTAGAGGAGACATAAAGGCTTAGTGGGAAGACATGAGAAGGATAATGCATTATCACTATTCATGTAAATGACTATCGTCACTGATACAAACTCCTAAAAACCCTTGGAAATTACCTCCCAGTCAGAAACACTATTAACTTGGAGTCAAGGTTGCTTAACTGCAGATCCTGTCAACTCAATCACTACAAATCTAAGAAATTGCCACTTACGTTCTCCACCCTTTGCTATCCACACATGCTGGGATCCTTCTCACGCCTCCTCCCGCTCCTGCCACGCTCACCGCCGCCGTAAGAAGAGTAGCGGCCCCTGCCAACTGCGCTGGTTTTAGAGATGAGCATACAGGATTTCAGCCAAGGGACTAGTGTCTGTAGGTAGAAACATGTTGTACCCACGGCTTGTTTTTATCTGCACGCATTTGTAGTAGGGAGGGTGAAATTCACTTAAGTAGCATTATAATATTGTCCTGTGAAATTGTCTTCTCAAAATTCCTATGAGTTGGCGTTTCACTTTGACGGATGCGGCAGCATTTGCTGCACTGCCTTGCCATTCTCCACAGCAACGAGTAGATCAGATACCTTGGGTTATGGACCCCTCAGCCCCCAGTTATTTCATTGCTTCCTACCTGAGTTAATTTTCTGCGTATCAGAAATAATGCAGTGACTGTCTAGCAGATCTGTGCTGGATCTGGCGCGTTCTGGAGCTGGTGGCTCCAGAAAAAAGATGCAGAGGCACCAAAGCAAATTGACACAGAACTGGCTCTGATATTACAAGGCTGGTGTTGAATCTGAGCTAATAAGCAGTATTTATCCTAAACTGGCTTGTGAAGGTTATGCCAGAGGTATAGTGGCAGCAGCCTGGTGCCTCCTGTGGGCTAACGAACTTTGTCATTGCGCTGGGTTGCTTGCGTGGAGCCGGCTCTGTTGTCTTTGCCTACATGACACAATTAATGCCGAAACTGGATAATCCTGCAGCAGATAATGGGGAGCTGAGCGGATTTGCTGTGGCATTAGGAAATGAGCTGCTCCTTGCCCTTAGTTTAGAGGTGAATTTGAAAGATTTTATCAGCAGCAGGAGCCAAGCACTGTGTAGGCAGGTACCATCAGCGGAGAGCTCCGGAGAGTGCACTTGAGGATGTATCCACATGGGAATAGCCTGTGAAACAAGGGAGCAACCCTCCTGAAACAAAATGTTACCTCTAGTGCTGTGCCCGGCCAGGAGCACTGCATCTGGAGAAAGGTTCGATGAGGCTGGGGCGAGTCCAGTCGGAAGCTACAAGGACTGGTGATCGAGCAGATGCAGCCTGTGAGGTAAGTCTGAGCAAGTTAGGGCAGAAAAAGTCTATGGAAGGGTGAGTCGAGGAGCGTTGTTATAGTGATTTTCAAATCTGTTAAAGACTGCTGCAAATGGGATAGAAAGTAATGGGTTTAAATTCAGCTGAGGAGATTGGGGTGGAACATGAGGAAAGCCAAACCTGACAGCGAGGCGGGTGAAGTGAGGCTGCGGAAGGTCTGGAGAGGCTGAGTCACGTCACTGGAGAGTTCTAGGGGCAGGCTAGACACATGTGTGAAGATTGCCATAGGTGTAGCTGTTCCTTCCTTACGCCGAGGCCAGGCAGCTGACTGCTCAGGGTGGCTGTTAGCCTCATCTCGCCTGATTTTATGGATGTGTCTTGCTGCGTCCTGCAGCAGCCCTCAGCGGTTCCAGCCGAGGGGCTTTTCTCAGGTCCTGTGGCATAGCTCGTTTCTTCCCCTGCGCACGAGCTTCGCCCTTGACAGAAAATGACAGTTCTGATGACAGATCATGTGGTTGTTTTGTGATGTGGACAAGCAGCTGGAGCTAAAAATAAAAAGAAATGGAAAAGAAAACCTCTGTGTAGAAAATAAAGTAGGCTGTGTAGTGATGCTGGCTAGGATAAGGGATGAGAGATAATCAGGGAGGAATTTTCTGCCAACAGATAATGGAACAAAACATTTAACATTTAGCAGAGCTAAGCTGCTTGTTGCTGAAGCTTTGTGTATCTGGTCAGTGATGGAGGCAGGAGGACACAAAGATTTACTTGGCAGCAGCCAATGGCGGTGTGTGAGCTGTACACATCTCTGACCATCACAGCCTGCACCCTCGACTCGTGCAGGTCTGTTCCTTTATAGTAAGCCTGAAATTCCCAAAGAGCGAGTGTGAGATCCCGTATCGTGAAATGCAGGCTGCCCAGCCTGCATTCCAGAGGAGAGAAGGTTTTAGAGCTTTCCCTTCTCTTTCCCACAAAGGAGCCTCCCTCCTGTAAGAAGTCATTTACTGCCCTCTGCACATGTCTTGCTGGATTTTGGAGATTTCACGTGTTCCAGGGACTTCTATTTGGATTTGTAGATTCATGCCCTGGCCTCTGAGGGGCAGGTGGGGTGTGTATCACAGAGTGATCTGTGAATGTGCTGTGGGTGCTTGGGACAGCCAGGAATCTGCAGGAAAGCAGGACAAAGAGCTCTTTAGGTTCTGGCTGAGAGTCGTGGTCTGGAAATACACCGTCTCCTCCTGCCAAGTCCCAGCTGCCTCTCGATGTGGGTTTCCCATGCACTCTCAGCTTCTCTGTCCTTTCCCTCTGCCATGACCTTGCTGGCCGCAGGATGTGGAGATCCGGTCCAACGCTGCTGCTTACCTGCCCGAGATCACCCAGCTCCTCAACAACATCCCGCGCCAGATGCTGCTGCTGCTGAAGACCAACGACTTGCTAAGAGGGATCGAGTCAGCCCTGCACACACGTGCCAGTGCCAGCTCCTTCCTCAACATGTCTCGCTGCTGCATAAGAGCTGTTTCCACGTGAGTCTCTTCTCCAGGCACCAGAAGCCAGCCATGGAGCAGTAGGGGCCAGCTGTCCCCAGGGGCCGGGAGCTGAGGGGATGTCCCAGGGCCAGCAGGCCAGCCAGGACCTGGTCCCACAGCAGCTGAGCAAGGGCAGAGCCTGAGATGGTGGTCAGGTCCAGTCAAAGGTCCATATCATAATGCAACATCACGGCGACAGGGCAGGCCCAAGATCAAATCAGAAAGTCAATCTGTAGATCAGGTCCAGTGCTTGTCAGGCAGGTCTGTGATGGCAAGGCAGGGCTGAGGTCAAGCCAAGAAGTCAGTGTATGACTTGAGGTCCAGGTCAAGGGGCTTGACAGCAGAGTGTGAGCTGGGGACCATTACTCCTCCAGTGTAGCTCAGGCAGGGACTGAAGGTGCAGGCCTGAGATTAACTGCAGCTCCTTGGGCCTGTGAGCAGAGGGTTGGTGGAGGTCCCAGGCTGTTCAGGGCCATTGAGGCTTAGAGCTCCCCACTCAGGGCCCTCATAAGGCCTAACTTGACCTCTTAAGCTCTTAGTTTTAGCTGTGGACCTCTCCTCCTCATTAGCACATGTGCTGTGGTCTTACCCCTGCTCAGTTACACACCTCAGTCTTTGCCTGTGCTGTTCTTAGGCCTGTCAGCCTCTCCAGAGGTCTCTCACCCTGGGGCTGGGGACAGGGATGAAGTTGGAGTCCTTAGGGTAACTGTTTAGGGTTTGTCTCCTCCAGAGAAGGAAAAGGGCCTTCCTGTGCATTACAGACATCACCAGTGGAAAGTATTTGTGTGTGGGAAAGATCTGCATGTTCCCTGCTGCCAGTTTCTGCAGCCTGATGGGGAGGCTAGGGCTTACTGTGATCATCAGGCTGATGTTTAAAAGCCAGGAACAGGAGTTGGGCAAGTGATTTCTGTCTGTGAGTCTTATGAGTCAAAGCACTTCTGCCTCAGATTCTTCCTTCTTGCAGAAGAAATAACAGTTATTTCCCCAACTGATTGAGGGACCTACGAAGCACCAGTTAACCTCTGCTTCTAAAGAAAGGAGGATAATTACTTATCCTGGAATCAGTGTGTCAGGATTGCTGGACTCTTGAGTGTGCTACTGGGAAGGGCTCTGGGGATCCTGTCCCTGTTAGCTGAGGTAGAGCTGGTCACAGAAGCAGAGGATGCCATGGCCTCCTTCCTGCCGGGCTGCATCCTGCTGGATCTAACGCAGCTGTTTCTCTCATTCTAGGTACCAGAGGAGCAAGAGCCACTCGCTGTACAGGAGGGCCCACATCTCCCTCACAGAAGCCCTGAGCCTGTGGCAGATCAACTTGTATGAACTCTTCCTGTGGCTGAAGGGGTCCCAGCTGGGGAACTGGGTCGTTGCTCTCCTGAGCTGGATGCACCATTCCACGTACTGACATGAACTGGTCGCAGAGGCCCGGCTGTTCCCTCCCTCCCTTCTGCTCTCCGTGGCACATTTGCATTTCTGACTGTTTCTATCCATTCTGTGGGCTATTTTTGGGTCTTGTTCCACCTTCTTGCTGCACTGTCCTTGCCTCTTACAGCATTAGCTTTCTCTGTGTGCTGAGAGTGGAGTCAGTACCGAAGCTCTGCCGTTCTGTGGTTTAGGAAAAGGAGGTGCGGGATACCATGTGCCAGGAAGGGCAGGGTACTTTCTTTCCCCATCTGAGCAGAGGAAATTCCACTCCAATTCCAGTGGGACTGCACTGGAAGAAAAAACCTGTCCTTGGCTCTTGCCTAAACAATCCTACAAAATTTAAGAGAATCCCATCCCTGCCTAGAATGCCCCAAAACATTTCTCAGACCCTGAGACAGAGGTGATAAGTCCCTTTCAAATCCAATAGGGTTTCTATAGTTTTTTGCAGTCTCTTTAGTCTGATTTCTGTTCAGGTGGGCAGAGGGTTTTCTCAGACGAGTGAGAGCCTAGGGAGAGCTGGCACTGGGGCTTCATCTCCCAGCACCAGGGAGCGGGGACCCTGATGGTGAGAGTGGTGGACTTGGAGTCCGTCTTTCTGAGGTTTGTCTCCTGACCTGTCAGCAAGTGCCTCTGTGGTTTTGATCTTTTCCTGGCCTGTTTCCTTGTAGGTGAATGGGGAAGGGGACAGTGATCCTGCCTCTTTTCTGAAATTCAGGGAAGACAGGAGGAATGACAACTCAGGGTTCTGAAACTGCTGGTAATATATGTGTACTGTGCAGTACTGCCACACAGCAAAATAAATGTGTTGTCAAAGACCTTTGGGGGAGGGATGCCTGGCTGTGTGCTCAGGGTGACCTTTGGGCCTCTAACTCGGTCCTGTTTCCATTTCTCCACTGGGTGATGCCAAGCAGCGCTGTTAACTCCTTGCAAGCCAAGTGCAATGGCCTCTTGGTCTTTCCTCTTCCCAAGAGACTTGTTCCACATCAGGGTCCTCTGGTGCTGCATCAGATGAGTGTTGGGATGGAATGGAGGAAGGGAGGAGGATGCACCACTCCTTGCCACCCAGATCCGTGCTGAGCCTGCAGACCACGCCGCCACACATCTTTGAGACGCCACCGTCCCTGGGCCACGCTGTGAGCGTGTCGCTTCCTGCGCAGGCGTGTCGCAGAGCCGGCTGGCTCAGGGCGGCCAAGAGGTTGGCTGACTTGTGAATGGGGAACTACTGAACCTGGGTTCTTGGCCTCCTGTGCAGCCAATCGCCTGACCCTGGCGTTAGCTCCCTGAGCCCTTCCCGCTGTGGGTACAACAGGTGGAGCGATGCGCCCTCCCGTCTTGGCTAACAGCAAATAGAGAAACCTGGGTCAGGCTGAACGTCCTCGCAGGGCTTGTCCCCAGGCTGGGCACTGACGGCTCAGAGGTTCCCCTGGCTTCTGGGCTGTGTGATGGCGTCAGGGAATGGAGTGGTGGCGATTGCAGTGACGAGACTCCTGAGTCGACAGGGAGTCACAGAGGCCCCGGAGAACTGCTCCTGCAGCCTGGATGTGAGTAATCCGTGCTCGTGTGAGCGGGCTGGCTGAATCAGCGCCCTGCTCAGGCATTGCGGCTTGTAGGCTGGCCAGTGTGGGTGGGCTTGCCTCGTTCTCCTCAGAAGTAGAGCTCTGCTCACAAAACCAGCCCGGTGCACCCAGTGACGTCCAGGCGACCCTCTAGCAATGGTCACCAACTTCACATCCTCATCTCGCAGCTGTCCATGACTGGATACATGGACCAGAGCACTAACCTGTGCATGAAAGCTCGCCCGCAGCGAGTCTCTCTGGTGGTATCCCTCGTTTCCAGAGGGTCCCGCATCACGGAGAGGCTCCCCGCAGCTGACATTTGCATTAACTGCCGAGCCCTCAGCTCTCAGCCACCGTGCCTGTTCTTTCACCCCTCCCAAATCCAGCAATGCGGCTGCTGGCTCTGAGTGTGGTAGGGAACCCGCAGCCCCTCAGACAGTTGTTTCTGGCGGCGTGCAGCAGGCAGGGCGGGCAGTGCTTGGGACAGCTTTGTCTCTTGACATTAGTCTCTGCCGGGAGGCTGCGTGCTTCAGCGCTGGCCGTGGGACTCCTCTGCCGGTTGTGCTCGACTCTCGCTCTTCCCACAGTCAATCAATGAGGGTTTGCCTGAGGAAAGAACAAGCAAACACCCGGAGTTTGACCCTTTAACATTCCTGCCTTGTCTTTTCGCTGAAAGCTCTCAAAGGTGAATGTGTTAAAAGGGTTTTGAAAAGACACTATCTCATCCCAGTTTGGGGTTGTCAGACGTGGGTAACGTGGATAAGCTCCGTGTGCTTGCCCTCTCCTTCCAGCCTGCGTTTGTTGTGTCTCCCCGCCAGCAAACATGGGCTCTGCCGGCGGTCCGCACACCAGCTGCCCGGCTTCTGCTGCCAGCCAGCGGGGCTTTGGTGCTAGATGTCGGCCCTGCAGCAGGTTCCTGAGCCCACCCACTCCTTCTGGGACTGAGAAGGGGGGTTAAGAGCTGGGGCCAGAGATGCAAAACTGATGGGCAACTCTCAGCTCCTGAAGTACCGTGTCGTAGCATCATAGTATCTCCCATCCAAAGGCTCCCAGTGCTCTGGGATGTGCTGGGGAGCCAGCAGTCGTTTAATTTAAATGCACCATCTTGGCTGGAGGTGGAAAACGGGGTAGTCAGGGTAAATGACCTCACCATGAAAAACTATGTGGGAATTTAGGGCATGAACAGGCTTTTTTACATCCAGCTGAAGAGGAAGCCAGCGAGTACATTAGTCCGGGCTGAACACCGTAGCCCATGCCTAGCACATCCAGTGAACTTCAGCGATGGCAAATGGGTGGCGTCAGATTTGCAGATCAAGGCCACACAGTGCCCTCTGCCATTTCCCAGGGGCGTAGGCACCTCGTGCACTCGCAGCGGAGAAGCTTGCCAAGCGCATCACTCCCTGCCCCCCATCACAGACCACCCCTGACCAGCACACAGCCCGGCCAGCGCCAAAGTCGTTCCCTCACAGTGACTGCCCGTGGGTCACCGGCGCTGCCTTCCCACATCACTGGGGTCCTGCCAGGAGCCTGCTCCAGCGTGGGCTTCCCACAGGGTCACAGCCCCCTTCAGGCATCCCCCTGCTCCAGTGTGGGATCCTCCCTGAGATGCAGGTGGGTCTCTGC